TTAAAAGAATAACATACACATTACTTGTTACCTGAACTCTAAATAAGCAGCTATCACAACTATTTTTATGTTCAACTACATTTCTTCCATATTAACTGCTAAGAAACAACCATATGTTATCTTAGATCATCTTAATCCACACCAACTTCGGTGTATTCTACCGTTTTACTACAAGTATATATCGAAAGTACGACACTTGTTTGTTCAGAAAAAAATGTTTACAAGTTTACAGATATATATTAATATTTACTGGGACTGTGGAAATCAAGCATGCAGATGAAAAGAGTAAAGCACAGCATACAGTAAAGTACTTCAAAAAGACGGATCAACTCACTCTAACATAAGCATCCTTCTCTTCTTGAATCTCCTTTTTAAGGTTATTTATTTTCCTCCTTAACGATTTAAAATCACCCACCGTCAAGTCTCCTTGCAATTTCTGTCGATGTCAACAAAAAAAGATCGATAAGTCACCTGGGAATGTTAATCAATTAATGAAAAACAACAACTAAGTATCACAGATAGAATACAAGCATCATCCACATAATTTTAATAATCAACACAGAAACGAAAGCAATTCATTCATAAGTTGGGGCTGATGCATGAACGATTAACAGTCATAGATAGCTTCAACAGAATTCATTATTACTGGTCTCGGGTTGTTCATACTCAAACCAAATAAAACCCGTATCCATTTCGGATTTTTCTTCACCCGTTTCCTTACCTGGAGGCCCGGATACTGAAAAAAAATGAAAAACAACAACTTTCAATAAGCAGAAACACAAACCAGTGAAAATTCATCAAAAAGATCGTCAGCTAAAACGTTCTCTTCAATTGCGTGATAAAAACACATAAAATTTAAACCATTAGCGACTGTCAAATCAATAATATCAAGAAACACGTACTTCAGACAGGCGAACACAAAGATACATTCTTCGGATTAAAATGGTTCAAAATTAGGAACGATAGTAATCCAGATGAATCAAAAGAGATGAAAGATAGAATGATTTGTGTTTGCATAAAGAGAGTAGCGGAGAGAAAGAGAAGACAGACTCTAGATTTAGGGGCAGCGGTGGAGCTGGAAGCCATGATCGATGGAGCGGTGACGGAGGAAGAAGACAGGTGACGATGGGAGTAGTGAAGGGGAGTGAAGAGAGTGAGTGTGTTATGGAAGGATGTTGAGGGTTTTAAGGCTGTTGAAAAGCTGGTCATTTTGTAACGATTTACAGATTATTTTAATAAATAAAAGTTTGTTAGAAAATAGCATTTGAAAATTCATTTTATATAAAATTGTTATAAATTAAGAATTTTAATCATGGTTATATTAACAAAAAATATATGGTATTTTCATGTTTTATAGGGAAATTCAGTCATAAAATTGTTCCATTTTTAAGGTCAATATATTCCATAAAATATAGAAAATAAAGGTTTTATATGAATTTTTTGTTTTAACGAATTTTTCAAAATTGAGAAAGTAGAAGATAAGATGCGAAATTTTATAAATTTGAAGAAATTTCCTAAAATGATTATTATAAAAAAAAAATTAATGATCTTTATTATATTTCCATCAATGAAAAATCTTATTGTCGGAAAACGAATAAGATTTTAATAAATATATATAATATTTTAATAATATAATTAATGTTTAATATCATCATATATATATATATATATATATATATATATATATACACATATATAATATAAATATATATTATATCAATAATATATAATATTTATATCGATTTTTATATTATATTATACTAGTTGTGTACTCGCGCAATGCGGCGGGAGCCATGAATTTTAACGATTTTGAAGTTTCATTGGTTTTATAAGATAAGATTTAACGATGATATAGGTTACACTTGATCTTTACATATTAATACAATTTGAATAA